CCTAGCTGTTGAATTTTTCATCAGTACCATAAACAAAGAAGGATGAGAAACATTTACTCTGCCTTTCAAAGATCTGTACATGAAAAGAGGCTGTGGAGTAGGAAGCCAGCACAATTAAGTTTCTGTCTTTAAAATGTCACTGCATTTTAGACATTTCTGTATATGGCTTCTCTTAATTTTTTATTTTTCATTAAACTTTATGAAACGCCTATCTCATTTGGAGAACAAGTCACTGAAAAGCAGGAACCAAGGGATTATAGCTCCCAGTTACATTATAGGTTCTGAACTAATAGGGTCCCAGTGTTCTGGTACAGCGGTGATTCACATGAGGAGATTTTCTTATCTTTATAACCCACTTATACTACAGTATAACACCCTGATAACAATCCCTGAGCTGGGTAAAATGAATTATCATCATGGGTGTTGGCAGAAAGTTCAAATCGGAAATGCAAAATAAACTGAAATTTTAGTGACCACGTAGTGTTGCCATAAAGGATAATGCCAAAGATTTTGGTACATGCTCAGAAGGTGAGGAGGAAGGATTAAGCCAAATGTTTCTGACAAGGACAGCAAGGGACCTTTAAAGGGTACGATGTTTATTTCCTCTGACGTCAAACACTCTGACATCAACAGGGTCCAACAGTGTCATTGTGTTAACGTCAGGTCAGCATTTAGTAATTTCTTCTGATTCCTGCAATATTGATTATAATGTTTCACTTTTTGCCTTCCCTTACTGTTTATATAAGGGCCATCCCACGTTGCACATATTGTTTTTATGCCTTTATCTGTGTGTATATGTGTATTTATGTGTTGTGTGTGTGTATGTATATACACATATATTAATAGACACACATATATTATAGTAATTTTATTTCTTTCAACTACTTTACAATGTATGTTTTTATTCAAAAGAGGGAAATGTCATTAATACCTATGAATCACTTTGGTTTAACAGATTGAAAGATTCTTTTTTTATTCAGCCTTAAAATGGACTTTTTCACACTTACAGTAACTTCTTAGCATATGCTAATGAATGTTTGTGCCCATTTAAGGATGTGAAGAAACTACCTGTGATAAATGTTAACCATTTGGAATTTAACAAATATACTCAGGCTCCTTCGAGACTCTTGCTTGATGTATATAGGTGTAAGTTAGAGACCTGAAGGCATAAACAAGGCTCTGATGCGTTGGCATAAGGCAGAGGTTGCAATCAGGTGGCCCGCCATGATGTTTTATTTTGTCATGATTTTAAAAGCTTTTTAATATTTTAATATTTAATATTTTAGTATTATTTGATTTGTCAACACTTAAAAATTGAGTGTTCACAAAGACATCTGACTTTCTGCTTGTCTTGAAATATTAGGCATCTGGGAACGCTTGACATTTATTTAGGGGTGCAGTGCAATGATAGATGCTTAACATCTGGCTATCAAGGAAAAAGAATCCTCATTCACAGCATTTGCCAATTTCTGTGTTGTAAATGCTCCCGCCATTATTGATTTCCAGCTACCGATGTGATGTGATTAAAGCGGAGTTGGGAAGATATGCATACAATCAGCTGTTGCAAACTGGTCTGAAGCCAGCTCACCACTCTCCATGTCAGTCCTCAACACAGCCAGCTGAGGTTACTAGTTGCCCCCTTTAGAGAAGGCACAATCTCCCTCATTCTCCGTATTTCCTACTGATTCTGTGTCCCTTATTTAGGTGACTTGCTAATCCACAGAAAAAGAGCTGACCCGATCAGGACAGCATGATAAACCAGGGCCTGGTTGGTCCTAAATTAGAAGGAGGAACAAGAATTAGATGAGCTGTCAGTTATTAATCAAGTCCTGTCATTTTAGAGTTAGATTGTTAGAGTAAGTTACTGTGCGGTTTCCTGAATTGTTAGTAAAGATAGCAATCGGGCTTCCTGCAAGTCTGACTTAGAGCCATCTGGCTTCCTTGACTGATTATTGCAAATAAGGGGACTGGTTTCCTGGGCAGGTTGCTTGCTCTAGGTTGTGGGCCAGAGCTCTTTTTTCATATATGGTCTGGCCATTGTCTATTTGTGTATTCAGTCTCACGTGCTGACCCTGACTGCCCTTCTCATGGACCGCCTTTTCTCTGTTATACATTCTTATTTCTGAGGATATTAGCAAATTGAGTCTGTCAAATTAGGTCCTCCAACAGTCAAAAGACGTTTTATAAAAGGCATGTTTTAGGTGGTATAATATTTATGGTAAGAAATATATATTTGGTCTTCATCCATGGTTCTGAGCGTATAGCTCCTAAAGCCCTTGGATTTTCCTAATTAACGCGATGAATTTTGGAAAGCTAAGGATGGGAGTTGGTTGCCAGGGGAACCAAACCCCTCAAGCTTCAGGGAGAGGAGAGGGGCTGAAGGTTGAGTTCACTCACCAGTCATCTGTGATTTATTCAATCACGATTATATAACAAAGCCTCCATTAAAAACCCAAAAGTATGGGGTTCAGGGAGCTTCCAGTCTGGTGAACCCATGCAGATGCAGGAAGAGTGATGCATCCCTAGAGCATGGAAGCTCCGTGCCCCTTCCCACGTACCTCACTGTATGCATCCATCTGCATAAGTTAAATCCCTTTATTAGAAACCGGTAATGTAGTAAGTGAAATGTTTCTCTGAGTTCTGGGAGTGCTCTAGCAAATTAATCGAACCCAAGGAGGGGTCACTGGAACGTCCGGTCTGTAGCCAGTGAGTCAGAAGCATGGGGGACAGCCTGGATCTGCAACAGGCATCTGAAGTGGGAGCGAGGGGGTCCGTCTTGTAGGACTGAGGCCTTAACCCATGGGATCTCGTGCTATCTCCAGATACTACTGTCAGAATTGAGTGGAGTTATAGGATACTCAGTTGGTGTCCTGGGAAAAAAAACCCACGTGTTGGAAATGGGTAATGCCAGAATCATAGTGGTGGGAATGGGAGATTGATGGAGACGGTGTGGAATGGTCCATGTCACGGAGCTGCAAAGGGAAAGGGCACACAGAGAAGGCCCGGCCCTGGCAACAGGTCATGCCCGAGACCAGACACTTCTCTAGTGCTGCCTTTATTGTATTTTGGTGTTGCTCAAGTTTTAGCTTAGGCCTTTCCTGGAGGAATGATAACTGAGCTTAGCTGCCCACCTTGAGAGATCTAAACCAGCGAAGGGGTTCAGTATATCTTAGCTAAGCAGTCAAGTGTAATATGCCCATAGCCAATGATGGTGGCTTTTTAGACAATGCTGTTGACTTGGGATCAGGCCTGGGTCTGAGTCCAGCCTCTGTGGCCTCTGGTCAATGGACACAGCAGCTGTCCTCATACAGAGCAGTACACACCGTGAACACCGCCATTTAGGTTCCTTTTAAAACTTGACAAGATATTTCCTTTGCTAATTAGAAGCAATAAAGTAATTTCTCTCTAGTTTTGCCTTATCTTAATGAAGTATGAAGACTTTCCCTCCCACTACTCTATCTTTTTTTCTACCTCTCTATTTTTCCTTATTTCTTCTTATTTTTAGCTTATTTGCATGTCCTTTGGCTTAGCTGTGCCTGTGTTATTGGTTAGTGTTGATGGGAGTTTAGAAGGCAGGGTATGTTATTGAATTTGCTTTGCACTGCATTTAATACCATATGATATCCAGCTGTGTTTTCTGGTTTGACAGCAATGCCACCAGAAAATAGATTTTCCCCCCAGATGATACATTGAACTTTTCAATTTCAAACCATCCATGCTAGATCCCTAGCAGAAAAAAAAGTCAAATCGTTTTGCATTATTTGTGGTGGTGTCTGTTCAAATAGATTAATAGGTATAGAAAAGCAAAGGAGATAGATTGGGAACCACAAGGCATCTAAGGTTGTAAGGCTACTGGGAAGCTACTGGATTTTTTTTTTTTTTTTTGACCAGTGTGTAATATAAGGTAAGTTGCTGATAACCAAACAATGCTTTGGGTAAGGTTTAAATGGTAGGTGTCTTTGTGCTACTTGTCTTCAGACAGAAAAATTTGTTTAAAAGTCTCTCCATCTCTCCTTTTGGGCATATACTCCCTTTTGAACGTATGACTCAAAAGTGAGCACAAAGTGTTTTTTCAAGAAGAAAAATTCACTCCTTCCTCCTGGCAATCATTCCTCCTGCCAAGGTGGCCCATGACTAAGCAAATTCTGCCCCTTGTCCCGTTAGCTGGGTGGTTTTAGTAGATGGTGTCTTTCAGTTCCCCTCACCTCACAGTGCACTGATCACCAGCTGCTTTCACCCTGGGCTGCTGTATCCCTCGGGGTTCCAACGGAAGAGCAGAACCAGTGGGCAAAAGAGAGACAGAGATTGATTGATTGACTGCAAGGACTGGCTTACAGATTGTGAGTGCCGACTAGGCAAATCTGAAGAAATCCATAGGGCAGGCTGTCAGGAAGGGCGGGCTAGACTTCTCAGGCTGAATTTGCCCGAAACTGCCGTCCACAGGCAGAATTCCTTCCTCTTCAGGAAGCCTCCATTCTGCTCTGAAAGCCTCCTAACTGGTTGCATCGGGCCCACCCAGATTATCTAGGATGATCTTCCTTCCTTAGAGTAAACTGATTATAGACTTTCATCACATCTACCAATACCTTTACAGCAGCACCCAGTGTTTTGTTGGGTAACTCGAGAGACCACAGCATAACCAAGTTCACATATAAAACTATCACCACCACCCTTCCTCCAGAGAGTTGCTCTCAGGTGATGGGAGCTGCCTGGCTTGGGGGCATATGCTCCCAACTCAGCAGCTGCCAGTCATGCACTGGCTGGGGGGTTACAAAGGCCTGCCTGTTCTCTTGTAAGCTGGGGATGATGTCTGGTTCAGTTTATATGAATTATTACATATGACATAATATTACTATATGTTACATATTATTATAATATATAATATATAGTATCTATAAAATATGTTATAATATGTAATGTATAATATAGATTGTGTTATATATTTATATAATTTATATATTAAATTCATAAATGCACATACATCCTAAATTACCGTTGCCTTGTGCACCAGAAACCATGCTTTGTTTTCACCAAATCCCTTTTCCTTTTCTTCTTCCTGGGCGCATAGGAAGACGATGTTATTTTAGGGTGGGCCACGTGACTAGTTCTGGTCAGGGGCCTCTAAGCAGATGTGATGTGTGTCAGTCAAGGCCACAGTATGGAAGGGCAAAAGAAGTGTGGGTTCTCTGTGTTTTCTGTTCCCTTCTGTGGCTACCTGCACGGTGTGGATGGTTTACATGCTGCAGATGCTCTGGATAGTGTAGCCGTGTGATGCTAGCAGCCATGCCGATCCACACGTCACCGACTTGGAGGGGTCTGCCCTGGAGAGCCGCTGCACCTGCTGTGGATTTTCGTAAGCAAGAATTAAACCTTTTTATGTTATGCCCCTGAAATTGTAGGGTTTATTTGTTACCAAGCCAACATATATACATCCTTTCTTCTTCTTTTAGGGTAAGAGATATTATATCTACCTAAGGTTTTTGGTTTTGTCATTGTTTTTATTTTTGTTTTTTTTTTAAGATACAATGTAAACGATTTTCTGAAGCCACCCTGCATTCTTATACTTCCATGCTCATTCTGGTATTGTCTTCTTGGTCTAGAAGGTTCCGAGGCAGACTTGCAATCAGTCTGAGGTCCAGTCCCTATTCTACTCTTTATAGGTAGAATCTTAAGTAGATTCCTTGGATTCCTCATTAACAAGAAAGTGATAATAATTCCTAGTCAAAGTGTTGGTTTTATTTGGACTTAATAAACCAGTGTTTCCAGAAGCCCTTAGTATAATCTCTGATTCAGAAGTTAAAATGCCTAGCAGAAACTCATTAATGGTTTTGCTGTCTTTTTCTTTCCCCCTTATTAAAAGCCTAACACATCCTTCAAGGCTTACCTCAAATGTGACGACTTCTTGCTTAAATGTTTTCCATTCTTCCTTTGCAATCATGAGGCTCGATATATGCTCCCTTGTTTAGCCTTATCTTGTTCTGCCTAGAATTAGAGCTATTTGTTCACACCTCTTACTGCTTTCTAGTAGATTTTCAACTCTTCAAGGGCAGAAAGACCTGTCTTTTTCATCTTTGTATTTTCTCCTTCCTCCTTCCAGCACCCAGTGAGCGCCTGGCGAGTAGGAGGTTCTCGACGATATTTATTAAAATGGAATGAAATGAAACCTAGTGGGTTTTGCAAATAAAATGGACGTGTCTTTTCCCAGAACCTCCAAAGACATTTTGGAGAGGAAGTGTACCCAGTGTGTATTCTCTAAATCATTAGCAAGGTTAAAACTGAAGGTCTGTGTTATCTGGCAGCTCTGACAAGGAATATTCGGAGTTAACCAAGTTTTATGCGATAGTCATTCTACGCGGATTTGGCACAGCTCTGCTGATAACAAAGACGCCACAGAGATAGTTGACATTTTTCTTTACAGACCTCGTTCCGCTCAGCTCTGGACTCAGAGCTTAACTTAGCCTGCATAATGGCTGTCAGAAGAGCGGAGAAGCCTGCACCTTCAGGCTCGGAAGGCGGCGAAAGAGAGAATGAGACCTACCTACAAAGGCATTTTAGCTTTTGTTACCTTTTGACCACAGGGTTTTAAAAATAATTGCGATGGCAGAGATCTAGATACTAGGAGAGGACAGAAGCAGTGTGTTTGTAAGTGTTTGCTGTTGTTCTTTTCAAATAAGTCATAATGGTTGTTAGAATAGTTCATGGAATTATGGTTAGAACAATTTTTAAAACTTAGCTTTATAAATTTAGCTTTATAAAATTTAGTTTTATAATAAAGGAATGAGGCATTAACTTTAAGAAATATTCTGAGACATTTAAATAAATCATATTTTTTTGCAAGATATTTATCAACTGAGAAAAAGGTAAAAAGGAGCAGGTTATCAAAGAGGAGCAACCCGATGAAATATGTATGTCTCAAAAAGGGTGTGTGTGCCTATGCATAGAGAAAGCCTGGAAGGAAATATATCAAAACATTAATAATATGTGTTCTTTTCAGTTTTTGACCGGCAAAACTGTTGTGGGTAATTTTCATGTGTCTTGTTTTGTTTTTTTGTTTTAAATATGGAACCTTCACAAATTTGCGTGCCACCCTTGTGCAGGGCCGTGCTAACCTTCCTCTCTATCGCTCCAATTTTAGTATATGTGCTGAGGAAGCAAGCACAATTTTGATGTTTTTACATGTACTTTTCTGTGTCTCTGTTTATATATTTTTTTAAAGATTTTATTTATTTATTTGAGAGAGAGAGAATGAGAGATAAAGAGCACGAGAAGGAAGAGGGTCAGAGGGAGAAGCAGACTCCCCGCTGAGCAGGGAGCCCGATGTGGGACTCGATCCCGGGACTCCAGGATCATGACCTGAGCCGAAGGCAGTCGCTTAACCAACTGAGCCACCCAGGCGCCCCCGTTTATATTTCTATAGGATTTCCTTTTAGCTTTTCCCTTAGTTCTGCTGTAAAAACAGAAGAAATCAGAAAACAAAAGATAACTTATTTTGACTTAATGTATTAGCTTACCTTTAGGTACTTGGTATAGGTATAGGTTAGGCTTATCTCTAAGTATTTTTCATAAGTTATCTTATTTTATCTTCATAAAAATCCTGCTATTATTTATATTTATTTACCAGGTGAAGGAATCAAGTCATGGGAAGGTTAAGGAACGTGGTTGTGGTGACCCGTATGTAATAAGTAAGAACTCAGATTTCACATCCACGGATTTGCTCCAGAGCTGTGCTCAGAACATTAGACCCCAGGCAATGCCTAGGATGCATGGAGGGGAGGGGAGGGGACGTTTATGATGACATGTGCTTGTATTATTTGGAGGGAATTCTGTTCCCAGCCCAGCCTGCTGAAAGCAGTGAGGAAGACTAGGGACTGATGTTGGAATGGAGGAGAGATGATCTCTGAATTAACAGGGAAGTAGGGTTGACTGGAAATAAAAATTGTTTTTTTTTTATCCAGAACAAGTTCTCAATTTTTGATGGCCTGAATGATAGGTATAGAGTTGAGTTGGGTGGTCTTGGAAGGTTTTGACAGGAGAGTGAGTGGTAGTCAACCCTGTTCTTTCTTTTTTTTTTTTTTTGATAAGAAAAATATGTCTATTTTGTAATGTGTGTTACAGTAAAAAAGTCTATCTTTAATATATATATATAAAGCTCTTCCAAACCAGTAAGAATGGAAAAGTACAAGAACAGCCAACTACAAAGGAACATGTATGACCAGAAAACCTGTGGAAAAATACCTTTCTCATTAAAAAATTTCATAATCAAGCAATAAAATGTGATACCTATTTCTCTTGTCAAATTGAGAAATGATTGACATGCAGCACTGTATTAGTATTAGGTGTACAACATAATGATTTGATACATGAGTGTAACACAAAATACCTACCACAATAAGTGAGCATCCATCACCACACATAGTTACAAATTATTTTTTAACTCCATTCTATTCAACAAATATTACTAGAGACTACATCCTGGGGACGAGGCTCCATGCAAGTGGTTTTGAAGGCTGGGTGGGAGGCTGGGGGCAGCCAGGACCTGAGGTAAGTCCCTGGAGCATAGCAGAGAGGTCAGGTTAGGCTTAGCCCACAAACAAGAATGCCAAGTGCCATCTGCATGCTGCTTTCCAGTTTCCAACGTGATTTCATAAACTGTTTTACTTATTTTTAATTTATCCACTGAAGAACCTTACAGAATGGAAAGACAAGCAGTATTTAACAAGTACTCACTCTATGCTAGGAACTATGCTAGAATTTTTGCTCATTCTGGCTCATGCAACTTTCTGAAAAACTCCTTTTAGGAGGTCATGGTTATGTACTAGCCACCTGAATCTTGGAAGAGTGAATTAACACGCGGTGAACTCTGGAGTCCCCCTGCATCCAAATACAGAACTCTGTCCATTGCTCTGCTCTGCATGGGCTCTGGGTCATCTAAGGCTGACATAATGGAACAGGTGCATTTCTACAAAAGAGAGATGTTCTTAATCAACTTGGTACCCTTTTCAGCTTCTTTCTCACCTATAAAAGGAGTTCCAGTTTGAGCATGCTCACCTAGCAGTTTCTCAGAAAATCCCACTGTTCACCCACTGGGTCAGGATCCACTTGATATATGCATGGCCACCTAGTGCAGGCCTTAGGCCTTGGATTTAATTTTTTCTCCTCATTAGCCTACTTTGGAATTGGGCTCAGCAAAGTTCAGTGCATGGGGAATTTTGGTAAGATGGCGGAGGAGTAGGAGACCTGGATTTCGTCTGGTCTCAGGAATTCAGCTGGATAGGGATCAAACCATTCTGAACACCTACGAACTCAACAGGAGACCGAAGAAAAGAATAGCAGCACCTCTGAACAGAAAAGCGACCACTTTCTGGAAGGTAGGACATGCGGAGAAATGAAGCCGAAGCGATATTCGGGAGGTTAGAGGGCGGGGGAGGGGGCCTCCGTCGGCCGCTTCCGGCAAGTGCTAGAGCCGCGGAGCACAAAATCGGAACTTTTAGAAGCCGGCTCCGTGGAGGGACGTCGCTCCAGTGGCTAAGCGGGGGTGGAACCCTCGCGGGACAGTGTGGTCTCAGGACCCTCGGGGTCACAGGAAGACCGGGGGTGCCTGAGTGCGGCAGAGCTCCCAGCGATCGGAGCGGGGAAGCCGGCTGCAGAGACGGAGCCGAGGCACGGGCTCTCAGCTCGGGGTGGCCATAGACTGTGATCCGTGGCCCAGTCGGGCCACTGCTCCTCCAGCAGGGACCCAACAAGCGGCAGAGCTGGGGAGACTCCCCTTCCTCCCCCGGGAGGAGCGGCGCGGGAGCGCACCGCAGGGATCTGCTGGGTTTGGAGACTCCACACTGAGTCGGGTGCCAGAGATAGAAACGCTCGGTCACAGGCCGGGTGAGCACAGAATGTGGCCAGAGACCGGGGAGATGGGAGTGACTGACTATTTTTCTCTGGGGGCGCACTGAGGAGCGGGGTCCCAAGTTCTCAGCTCCTCCAGGGTGGAGATGGGAGGCCACCATTTTCACTGTCGTCCTCCAAAGCTGTGCTGAAAGTTTGCAGGGAACAAAAGCTCCCGAGAGCAAACCCAAGCAGATGACTTAGCCCGGACCCGGCAAGGGCAGGGCAATTCCACCTCCGGCAAAGACATTTGGGAACCACGACAACAGGCCCCTCCCCCAGAAGATCTGCAACAACAGCCAGCCAAGACCAAGTTTACCGATCAAGGAGAACAGCAGAACTCCAGCGCTAGGGGAATACTGCACATAGAATTCATGGCTTTTTCCCCATGATTCTTTAGTCTTTCAAAGTTAATTGTTTTAATTTTTTTCTTTTTCTATTTTTTTTGAATTTTTCTTTTTC